GGACACCAACATGGCCACCCCAGTACCTTGCTGTTTTGAAGGAGCCGGATGATGTGCTCGAAGCAATTGTTGCTGAGAAAGATGGCTTGGAGGACTGGCCGGTCCTCACAGCTCAGCATGGCCGGGATGGCATCTACAGCGAGGCGGAAATGGCTCAGCACCCATCCCACGTCCCCATCCCCATCCCCGTCCCCAACCACCTACCCAGCATGAGGACACGAAGAGCGATGAGGCCACCGGCCGCCTCCGGCGCCAAGGAAGCCACGGGCAGGTCTGAATTGAGCACCCTGAAATATCCATCCAGGAGGACGCGCAACGGCACGGGGCCGGCGCCGGGACTGCCACCGTGCAGCACGTGGACCACGGCCACCACGCAGCGTAACGCCAACTCCAGCAAGCCGGGGACCGGAGGGGTCCCCCCACCTCCTCGCCGCAGCACCCCCAGAAGCACCTCCACCGCCGCCGGCGTGATGGCCCGCAGCGCGTTGGGCTGCGGGGGATGAGGGAGGGTGGGGGAGAGAGGCTTTTATGTCGCCTATCGCGATATAAAAATCCTTTATTTAAGCTATTAACGTCGAGCCCGGCGGCTGCGGCGCTGCGGGTTTTACCCATCCCCGCTCCTGGCTGCATGCAAATTCATTTAAAGCGAATTTCGCAGCTATTAATTAAAGCCTGATTTTTTTTTTTTATTTTTTTTTTTTTAAAAAGCATTGGGTTAATTAAAACCTATTTCTGGCTCAAATTTATTCAGCCAAGAAGTTCTCATCAGCCATCCCGGAGCTGAACCGGTGATGAACGAGGCAGCATCAACTCAACCCGCTCTTTAATTTTATTATTATTATTATTATTATTATTATTATTATTATATTTTTTTTTTTAAGGTAAAACCCACCGAATTTAGGGCTGGAATTTTGCATGTGATTTTAAAAGGCTTTTTGGAAAAAAAAATAAAAATTAAAGGTTTCAATTGGAGTTTTTCTCTGACTTGGGATAAATAAAACTTTGGGGGTTTAGGACTTGGCGGTGGTGGGGGGGATGATCCCGAGTCCTTCCCCATCCCGACTCTACCTTGGATCCGGAGAGGATGGCACCAAAAAGATGGATAAGGCGGAGCTGGCGCGTTTCCGTGCGC